TCACAAAATTTGTTGGGATTGCATTAACTGCTTGGATTATCTCAAAAGACTATATTTTTATACTATTAGAATGAATAAAAAGGCTTAAAAACTTTTTTCTGTATGAAAGCATTTGCAACTGATTATCGAGATCTTATTTCTGGATATCGTCTTTGCTAGAAATGTTTTCTAACTATTGCTTATTTCTCTCATTTCTGATGTAGTAGACATCCTTTCCACAAGCCTTTTTGCAAATATTTCTGTAATTTGGTAATTGCTATCTTTTTTCTTGCTTTTTCAGAGATTGGTCTAGGAAGGAATCTCTTCAGAAATTTAAGCCTTTTCCTTGAAAATTAAATTCCTCTTGGATCTCGATTGATCCCAAACTTTTCTACCTCTATAGTTAGTGTCAGTTTAACCACATTTGTCTACCGAAGGAAACTCATAAACAGGCCTAGTCACTTTGAAATTGAAAAATTTAATTTTTTTAATCTTTTCAAAATATTCTTTATAAGATCCGTAGAAGGAACATTTTTGGTAGAATTCTATCAATTGTACGTTTGGGGATAAACTTATTTTAATCTTAGGCTACCGACTCTCCAATGTCTCGTGGTGCTTCCTCACCTCGTGATCGTTGCGATCTTCTGCTCTGCGGTGATTGCAATGCCCAATTCCCTATCGCCCACTTTAGCGTCTTTATCGAGCACAAGGTAAAAATTTCTTTGTTCTGCATTCAGATTCGGAGAATAAACGAAAATTAATTCAATCTAGGTGTCTAACTGCGGCGGAAAATCGACACCATCAGAGGTAGATGAACGACCGAGTAGACGACGGAATTTCAGTCATGGAATGGTGGTGATAAACTTTGAACTCAAATTCCTCATCAGCACCCATATCCATCTTTTTAAAGAATCCTTTCCAGTCACGGTGTGTGCGCTCCTCGTCAGCGAACCCGCTTATGATTGACTATCACATGGGGAATATGGATGTAACAACCGATACTGACGATCTCGGTAAGGTTATAATTGGAACGTTTTTGAGATTGAATAAGGTTACTTATTCGCGGTGAGGGTATCTTTACAGTACTCCTCTTTGGGAACCTTGAAAGTTGAGACTTT